GCTTGGGCCTTTCCAGGGAGTTTTACTCACTTCTTCAGAGTATCTCTCATGTATACAGGACGTATACATGTTATTAAACGGCTGTTTGTTTTTCTAATTAATCTTTTATTACAGGGTTCTCAGCTAAGAACTCAGAAGGGTAGGGGAAAGTTATTTTCCCTCTTTTACAGCTGTGTGACCTTGTAACCCTGCCTTAGTTTTCTGCATCTGTAAAGGTGGAGTGATGATACTGCTCATGTAGCTTTTGTGAAGATTTAAATTAACTAATGTAAGCAAAGGCCTAGAACAGAGATTGGTACAAAGATGTCCTACATAAGTGTGCCTGGATTTTAGCTGGTATTATTACTTAAAGAATCTGTCTGGAGTTGGGAGATTACCCTGAACTCTCATTTTCAAGCTTTTACTCTGAATACAATATAGACAACACAGATACATATATAATAGTGAAAGTTTTTGTTGTTGTTGTTGTTTGTTTTAAATCACATTTAATAAAATACAAGACATTGATGATTTCTGGTTTTTTGGGTTTGTCTTCAATTGAAGTATAGCTGACATACAATATTATCCTAGTTTTAGGTGTACAACATAGTGAATTGACAGTTCTACACATTATGAAATGCTCGTCATGATGTGTTACCTACCATCTGTTACCATACAAAGTCATTATGATTATATTCCCTATGCTGTACTTTGCATCCCTGTGAATTATTTATTGTATAACTGGAAGTTTGTATCTCTTAATCTCCTTCACCTATTTGGTTTCTTACCCCCCGCCCCCACAACTACTAAGTTGTTCTCTGTATTTGTCTCTCTTTTGTTTTTTTAGATTGCACATATTCAGTGAAATCATATGGTGTTTGACTTTCTCTAACTTAGTTCATTTAGCATATACCCTCTAAGTCCATCCATATGAATAATAAGATTTCATCCTTTTTTTATGCTAATATTCCATTGTATATACAGTTGACCCTTGAAAAACTCAGGGGTTGGGGTACTGGCTGCTACACAGTTGAAAATCCGCATATAACTTTTTTTTTTTAATTTTTTTATTCTTATGTTAATCCCCATACATTACATCATTAGTTCTAGATGAAGTGTTCCATGATTCATTGTTCATGCACAACACCCAGTGCTCCATGCAGAACGTGCCCTCCTCAATACCCACCACCAGGTCAACCCATCCTCCCACCCCCCTCCCCTCTAGAACCCTCAGTTTGTTTTTCAGAGTCCATCGTCTCTCATGGTTCGTCCACCCCTCCGGAAAATCCGCATATAACTTTTGAATCCCCCCCTCAAAACTACCAATACCGTACTGTTAATTAGAAGCCTTACTGATGACATAAAGTCTATTAACACATATTTTGTACGTCATATGTATCATATGCTGTATTCTTATTATAAAGCAAACTAGAGAAAAGAAAATATTATCAAGAAAATCATAAGGAAGAGAAAAACATTTACAGTAGCATATCATATTTATTGGAAAAAATCTATAAATAAATGGGCTCATGCAGTTCAAACCTGCATTGTTCAAGGGTCAACTCTATATAGCATATATTCTTTAGCCATTCATCTATTGATTGACAGACTCTGTTCATACGTGACATGTTAAATCTGGTTGTCTGAAAAATATCCCTTTGTGCCCTCTCCCAGGGTGCACTGACTGTGTCCTGCAGCCAAGGCTGGAATGCAGTTCAGATCTCTAAACTGACTTCCCACTGTTGGGTTAAGTCTCCCTAAAACACTCATTGATTAGTAAGTCACTTCTGGGATGACTGGAAGGGCTACTACTAAATTTTTTAGTCTGAAAAATGCACCCTGACCTTGGCTTCCTCCTCTTTTCTGAAAGTCTGTAACAAACCAAAAGTGTGGTTCTAGACACCAACAGCATTAGCTGTAAACTTTAGCCTGTGTGGTAATATCACTTCGTAGTGCCTGGGAGAGAAAAACTCTGTGTGACCGAGGACCTTGCAACAACTGTTTAAAAGATACAATCTGTACGTGAAACACCCCCTTTTTTTCTCCAGTATGACCCTAGTCACGCCACTAATATAAAGTAATAAAGGCTTAATGCTTTGATATTAAAATGCTGGCACAATCTGTGGTCCAATATGTTCAGTAAATTTTCTTTTACAAATGCGAATTTCTTCCATTCTTTGGTTTTCAAATACCTGCTGAAGTTTCATTTCCAAACTGAGCAACAAAGTAATGCCAAATGAAAAGGAAGTTTAGAAGTTAAAGTTTGCATTTTTATTTCAATTTTAAAAAAATCTTAGAATATAAGGGAAAATAATACACAGCTCAGGATAATTCATAGCATTTATACAATGCTCTGTGTCCAAAAATCAACTCATAGTATCCCAATAACAGTTCTGAGGTGGGTAGTATCACCCCCATTTTTCTGATGATGGAGAAATCAGTTTGCGTAAAAGGTCACAATAAGTAGTAAAACTGAACTGGAGCACGGCCATCTATCATCCAAATGCTGTTCTGTGCTGCCTGCTTCCAGAGGCTCCTGGAGAAAGATTAACAAGGTTATGAATTCTAAGGTGGTTTGAACCTTACTTTCCTAGACACTGGGCAATTTTTCTGCTGAGGAACTCAAGTAAATGAAGACTTAAAGCCAAATCCTTGATCCTTGGCTGGGAAAGGGGGGGCAGCTGGTGGGGCAGGAGCACAGTCTGAGCCACTGTCCCCTGGCCATTTAACCCTCAGACATCAGTGGGTACTTTTGCTTTTGTTAAAGCTATCCTCTCAGGCCCTGTACCTAAGACACCCTTTTTCTAACAGCTACATAAAATATTCGGGGGAAAAGCCAAACACTGAACGTAAGAGCCAGCGCAGCTATAAGAAAAACCAAGATACTTGGACTTCAGCTGGGACCGAGCTGGAGAGCAGTCACCCTGGTTCAAGCCAAGGGCATTGGGTGCCTCTGACAGACCCTTTATATGGGTAGCAAAGGTCTGGGCCAGAGTGGTACGTATGAGAGTCTGGAAAAATGAAATGTTAAAAGTACAACCCAGTGACATACACACATACACAGAAATGTCCAACCTTACCATTTTTAAGAATGCAAATATGTTGTAAAGCAAAAGTTGCTTTATTAAAATCCTGGAATGCAAATAAATCCAAGTAAACCACACAATTAAAGTTTAATCTTCTGTGTTTTATGTTTCTTGTTGAGTTGTCCGCATGATTTAATACGGTACATCAACTCACATCTCAGACGGAGGCCCAAAATTTTAGATATTAAGACCTCAGGTGTGGAAAACAAAACACACAAAGCCTTTGGAATTTGCTGCTGTCATGTTCTACAGCATACTGTATTGTTCTCTTAAAGGCAGTTTGTAAATATAGTGTAAATGCTATACAATTTTTAAAATAATTGTTTTCTGAAAAAATATTGGGTGAAATATGGAAATTAAATTTTAAAGCAAATGTTATTTTTCTTCCAGAATCAGCCACTATTTTTATGTGGATCATCTTCCTTCCAGTACTGAATCAGCAACTCCAGAGCGCAAGATCAACAAAAGAAAAATAATTATGACTTCTAAACTTGAATAGAAACTACAGCCAAGAATCGTGAAAAAATTATTGCCTAGCCCTAGAAGAAATAAAGCCATGCAACCAATCACAAGCAGGGCCACAAATAAGAAATAACATATTAAGCAATAAAGGGACTTGACTAATTATGCCTGATCAACTGATTAACAATTATTAAGAATGGGTAGCTAGCTATTAAAAAATGCGCAAGCAGTTGGATTCTTACTTCAGCTGAAACTTCAGGTTATCTTAAAAAAAATTAAAAAGATGAAGAAATGTTATAAGAAAACTATATTGGAGTGAGGAAACTTATTAAACTACTAAAAAACCGGGAATATTTATACTCATTTCATGATTGCGAATCACCAATGAATAACTTAGGTTGTGTTCTTAGAGGTGAAAATTATGGGCAATTGCTTAAAATGTGAAGATCATAACAAGATCCAAACAAAATAAACAGCTCATGTTCCCTGCTACCTTTTAAAATGGCTAGTTACTGTCAAGCTACTCTTGCTTATCTGGGAAAATTCATTGGTAAGTCTACTATTCCATTGTTGAACCTGATCATTCCGTTGTAAAATATGCCAATGACCAGGGTTAGCACGGATTCCCAACTTAGCATGGTCAGGATCACAGTCCAAGAGTACCGAAAGGATCACAGCCACTTTTGTTGGAGCTAATTGGGTGGCTCTGAAAAGAGCCTTTGGATTTAAAGTTGGCACGGAACCAGGAAATCACATTTACGCCCTCTCCCCGCGGATGCGGCGCGCCAGCTGGATGTCCTTGGGCATGATGGTGACGCGCTTGGCGTGGATGGCGCACAGGTTGGTGTCCTCGAAGAGCCCCACCAGGTAGGCCTCGCACGCCTCCTGCAG